GGGCGGTGGAGGTCAGGCTGGCCCGCGGGCTGGGCCGTGGCTATCGGTAGGGCCGGACGGAGGGACGACGGGGGCGGGACGAAGCTGAGAGATGGACCGGTCGCTAGCAGAGCCTGGGTGGACATCGGCGTGACTGCTGGACAGGCCGGGGGTGAAGCCGGGTGCGGGGATGAGCCCGCCCGCGGACGGATCTTGGAGTGGAACCGGGGCTGATGGACGGACTGGGAGGCGGGCCTTGAGGCGGGGTCACAGGCTGGGCGGAGCTTGGTGCTGGTCGCGTCAATCGGCAGCGGGCGGAGATTCAGGGTCGGACTTTGGAGCTGCGGGTGGGGCTCCTGGGGCGGGACTTGCGGGGGAATTGACTGACAGCTGAGACCGCAGGAAGTTTCGGAGGTAGGGGCGGGGCTTGGGCCCGAGCGGGTGGGACTCAGAAAAAGAGGGGAGTTTCCAGGGAGAGCGGGACCTGCCGAACCCCCTCATTTATCTCCGCTTATATAACCTCTACCTTTTAAACTTTTCCCTTCTAGAACGAGAAGGATGAGGAGATGAGCACAAAGGTGTACTTAGACCTGGTACGGAGACCCCCCGGGTGGGAAAGGGTGTCCCGCTGCCTTTACAAATGTCCTCGAATGTCCGGCCCAGTCAAAAATAATTTTTTCATTATGAACTAAAACAGAAAACAAAAAAACCACATTTAAAACTGAAACAGCCCTAACCGGTTTGGCTCAGTGGATAGAGCGTCGGCCTGCGGACTGAAGGGTCCCAGGTTCGATTCTGGTCAAGGGCATGTACCTTGGTTGCGGGCACATCCCCAGTAGGGGGCGTGCAGGAGGCAGCTGATCAATGTTTCTCTCTCATCGATGTTTCTAACTCTCTATCCCTCTCCCTTCCTCTCTATTAAAGATCAGTAAAATATATTAAAAACAAACAAACTGAAACAGAAGCTTCGGGAAACAATGCTATCTTTACTGCGGGAGTTGTACTTCGTGCATTTTTCATTCTAATTTTTTTGAACTATTTTGGGGCCCCTAATATGATTCCTGACCCAGGAACGGGTCTCGAACTGCAGTTTGGAAACCACTGTTTTAAAATTTTTTTTAATACGTTTTTTATTGATTTTTTTACAGAGAGGAAGGGAGAGGGGTAGAGAGTTAGAAACATCGATGAGAGAGAAACATCGACCAGCTGCCTCCTGCACTCCTCCCACTGGGGATGTGCCCGCAACCAAGGTACATGCCCTTGACCAGAATTGAACCTGGGACCTTTCAGTCTGCAGGTCGACGCTCTATCCACTGAGCCAAACCGGTTTGGCTGGAAACCACTGTTTTAGAGGATAGCTAGTGCGACTCCTTCGTTGTTACGGACTAAAAAATTGGGACCCGTTGCGAGGGAAGGGGAATCAGCTGCTGGAGTCCGAGCCAGTGCAGGGGGAGCCGGAACCAGAACTCCCGGCCTCCGGAATCTCACCCACACCTGCGCTGCTCCCCACCCTCGCGCTCACTGCGCGCTTCCCTCGGACCTTCCAAGGTTCCCCCCAGCCTCCAGCCCCTGACAGCCCCCCTCGGCCTCTGCTTTCCTAGGAGTGGAATGACTACAGGCTGAGCTGGGACCCCGCCGAGTACGAAGGCATCGATTTACTCCGCATCACGGCTGGATCCGTGTGGCTCCCAGATGTGGTGCTACTGAACAAGTAGGGTCTTTCCAGGACGGGGGTTGTGGGGCAGCCGGAGGGCTGGGCCTGGTCCCACCTGAGCAGATGCCTTCCCCGCAGCAATGATGGCAATTTTGACGTCGCGCTGGACATTAACGTCGTGGTAGCCTCCGATGGCTCCGTGCGCTGGCAGCCCCCTGGCAACTATCGCAGTAGCTGCAGCATCCAGGTCTCTGGGCTCCACCCAGGGAACTCCAGGCGCTCCTAGAAACCCTCCCTCTCTCAGATAGCCTGACTCCCACCCCTCCCTCCTCCGTTACCCCTCGTGACCCTCACATCTCTCTTAACCTCCTGATTTTCCATTGTTTCATTGCTCACTTTCATTGACTTCCAGTCTTCCTCAGTAACTCCCCTCCCCTGCCCCTTCCCCCCCCCCCATAACCTTCCAATTCCTTTGTGACCCCCGCTTCCCTGTGACCGCTCCTGGTGGCCCTCATCTTCCTGGTGCTCCATATTCTATGACCCCTGTCTGCCCTGTGATCACCCTAACTCCCCCAGCCCTGGCCACTTCTCTGCCAGCTCTAGTGACTCCTCCTTCCATTCAGGTCACCTACTTTCCCTTTGACTGGCAGAACTGCACCATGGTGTTTCGTTCCTATAGCTATGACAGCTCAGAGGTCAGCCTGCACACTGGTGTGGGCCTGGATGGGCAGGAACGGCAGGAAGTGGACATTCATGAAGGGACCTTCATTGGTGAGTGGGCCTGGATCCCACATCTATGGCTGTTATGGCTTCCGGTTTCTAACAGGCTGATAAATATACTCCATCAGCAATGCCAATACAAACCTGTGGTGTCAGCAAGATAGGTATGACTAGCAACATTGTGCAAATATGGAAATTAAGACTTATTTCAGTTTATTAATGATGGGCTGTCCAGCCTAGTGTTCACAGCTAACCCCTTATCGCATCAGCCTCCTCTGCTCTAGAATGTGGTAGAGCCGTATCCGGCACCAGCAAGGACCAGGCGCCACATCTGTGTCCCCTTCTCCCTTTCTTCTTCCCCTTCACCAAGAGAATGGCCAATGGGAGATTATCCACAAGCCTTCTCGGCTAATCCAGCCTCCAGTGGATCCCAGGGGAGTGGGAGAGGGACAGCATCAAGAAGTCACCTTCTACCTCATCATTCGCCGGAAACCTCTCTTCTACCTGGTCAATGTCATTGCCCCATGCATCCTCATCACTCTCCTGGCCATCTTCGTCTTCTACCTGCCGCCAGATGCAGGTAAGGGAGAAGCGGCCCCAGCCGTGTTTTTTTTGTTGTTGTTGTTTTTTTAAATTGATTTCAGAGAGAGGAAGGATGAGGGAGAGAGGGATAGAAACATCAATGATGAGAGAGAATCATTGACCAGCTTCCTCCTGCACACCCCCTACTGGAGATCGAGCCTGAAACCCAGGTATGTGCCCTGACTGGAATCGAACCTCGACCTCTTGGTTCCTGGGTTGACACTCAACCACTGAGCCACACTGGTCAGGCCCAGCCCTCATTTTTACCAGGAGCTCAGCTTCTTCCTCTCCACCTTTAATCCAGGCAAGGTTTTTCTGTCAAACCACCATGGATTGTGCTTCAGCAATCTCACTCAGGTTTTCTCTTCAACCAGAGCCTTTTTATTTATTTATTTATTTTTAAATATATTTTATTGATTTTTTACAGAGAGGAAGGGAGAGGATAGAGAGAAACATCGATGAGAGAGAAACATTGATCAGCTGCCTCCTGCACAGCCCCTACTGGGGATGTGCCCGCAACCAAGGTACATGCCCCCGACCGGAATCGAACCCGGGACCCTTCAGTCCACAGGCCAACGCTCTATCCACTGAGCCAAACCGGTTAGGGCAACCAGAGCCTTTTTATCTGGATCCAGATTTTTCCTCAAGCCTCAGGCTCTGCCTGTCTTCTGTTGCTCACTTCTTTTCACCCAGTAAATTCTGAATACTTCAGAATCCTAGTATCTCATCCTTGAAACCTCTACTCCTCTGGCCAACAATCTCCCAGATTTAACAACTCTCCTTTTCCCTGTCCTCATTCTTTGTATCCTCCTTCCTTCACTTTTTAGACACCTACTAGTCTTTCTCTCTCTCTATTTTTATATTTTATTTTATTTTTTTTATTGATTTCAGAGAGGAAGGGACAGGGAGAGATTAGAAACATTAATGATGAAAATCATTGAATGGCTGCCTCTTGCACGCCCCCTACTGGGGGTCGAGCCCGCAACACAGGCATGTGCCCTTGACTGGAATCCAACCTGGGACCCTTCAGTCCTCAGGCCAATGCTCTATCCACTGAGTCAAACCAGCTAGGACTCTCTCTTTTTTAAAAAATATCTCTTTATTTTTAGAGAGAGAGGGGAAGGGAGAAGGATAGAGAGATAGAAACATCAAGGATTGGCTGCCTCCTGCATGCCCCCTACTAGGGATTGAGCCTGCAACCCAGGCGTGTGCCCTGATGGGGAATCGAACCAGTGACCTCTTGGTTCCTGGGCTACTATTCTCTTTTTTTTTTTTTTAATTTTTTTTTTATTGATTTCAGAGAGGAAGGGAGAGGGAGAGAGAGACATGACCTCCTGGTTCATAGGTCAACATTCAACCACTTTCCACACCTGCTGGGCCACCTACTAGTGTCTCTTAAACTCCTATTTCTCTTGGCAGTAATAGCCAACATTTCTCTAGGAGGCA